GGAGGGAGCGAGTCCGGGCCCGGGCCTGCCCCCAGGAGGCCTGTCGGGGGGAGCTGTCCCCGGTGGGAGAGGGAAGAGGTGGGATGGTGCCTCTGCAAACCGCCTGTTCCTGAACACTAACTCGCTCACGAATGAACAGGTTTTGAACCGAGAGCCACATCTCTCAGGCATTGGCTAAAGTGAACACAACTTAATGGAAAAAAGGCCTGCGTGTAGCTAGCCGCAGAGTCAGAAAGTTCCAGAAATAGAAAACTTGCTTTGTTTTAAGGGAGAGGGGGGCAAATAGGGTTACATTTGAACACTCCTCTGAGCTTTGTATAGTTCTCTACCTGAAGTCTTGGGAATAAAGTAACAGTGAGGTGTCAGTGGGCACCGCTGGTTGCCTGGGACTGAGCTCTGTAGTTAGGTCTGTGTGGCTAAGCCTCTTCCATCTACGTAGATTGCAGAATTGCGTCCATTGCTAGTTTGACTGCATTAATCAAAATCGCTCTAGTAATTACAAGCTGCAGGTAGAAACACTTGATTTGTTTTGACATTTGCTTTTCCTACCAGCCAACTGGGTTTGAGAGCAAGAAGTGAACTGGAATAGACTGTTGGATATTCCACATTATATTCTGTGCAAAAAAGGAAAACTGCTATTCTAGGGAGCGGGAAGGAATAGCCCCACTTAACTTGTGTTCAGTTTAGGGGGCTACTACTTTTAGATTTCAGTCACCGAAGGAACTTCTGTTGAGTTTGGTGATAAATTGATCCTCGATATCTTTGTTTAAATCCCATTTTCCATGTTGGTTTGCAGTGAGCTAGTTTAACAAGCAAATAATACTCAGTTGCAACTGATCTTGCCAGGCTATCTTCTAGCTCTGCAAATAACTCTTTTAAACATAATGTGGGTTGATTGTGAATACTGCATTGGACTTCACGTGAGTGCTTGTGCTTAAAAAGGGCCAGAGAAGAATACCTAATTGTTTTTGCACCTCCTACTTCAGTGCTGACATTGTTCTGTGTGATTCCTTGCTCTCTATCCAGAGCTGAAGTTTTGGGCACTTAAATTCTGTGTGGGGAAAATGTAGTTGTTGTTTCTGAGATTACATGCAAGGTGCTGTACAGCTGCTGAAGCCTCTCTTGCTGTTGTAGCCCTAGATAGCTGTGAGGCATTCTGTAATGTGAGACGTTGATTGTGAGGCATTCTGTAATGACAGGCAAAGCTTAATTTGTCAAGAGAAATGTTTTCTTCCTCATTTCTTCCCCTTTATGTATCTAAGTTAAATCTAATTATGCTGTTGCGTAACAGAGTAGGTTTAAAGGCAGCAACAAACAGTCAATGGCCTAATCTAGCACTTGCAACAGAACTGAAGTTCATGCAAGTTCTTTATTGGCTCTTAGACTATTAAAAGGCCTCTGGAAATATACAGTGATTTCACCTAGTGGGTAAACTGGAAGACATGGAAGCATCATTGGAGAGAGCCATTCCTGTGAAAACTAAGAACAAGAAGACTATTTTGTTGTAAAGGAGAATCTAGGGGGAGAGGAGCATATCTGGGATGGTGGGAGAATGAGGCTTAGGTCCTTTGTACCGCTTTGTTGCTTTGGAAGAATAAATTGGCCTCTATTTCTGAAGCTCTCCCTCTTAGGTAACAACAGCATGCTTAGACCTCAGAGCAGGACCTGGTGACCAGGATTAAAGCAGGATAGGAGTTTGACACTCCCTTTCAATGGGCTGTCAGCTAAATGTTTGTTTTCCCAGCGAGCTGGTACAAAAGATAAGAGTAAGAGGTTTATCTTGGAGTTTAAACTTTACCTGCAGGTGGTTTTCACCATCACACCCAAGCCTGTGCTGGATGTGGTATTCCTTCAGTATGAAATCCTGCTGGCTATAGTCTTTACTTGTGTGTTACAGAATTTGCCCAGTACTGTGAAGAGGACACAGATACAAGTAATATCTAATAGATGGCATATATACATCTATCAGAAAATAAGTGGATGCTTACTAATTTTATATTTTACTAGAAGATAACAAAACTCTTTTTTCTTCCTCTCTCCTCCCCAGCTTTAAACACATTCCTTGTCTGGGAGGAGTTCCTCTGTCTATCAAATCTACTATGCTACCTTCCCCCCCCTCTTCTTATGCTGCTACAAGTAGAATGTTATCTGGTAGGTTTAAGTATCTCTCTCTCATATTGGCTTACAAGCCCCACAAATAATTTCTAAAAAAAGCAGCCTTCTCAACGGAGGCTTAAAATGTTTCTGTTCTTGCTTTTCTAGTTCAACTGCATCCAGATAGTTATGTTTTTATTAATCCATTTTAGAACAATAGTCAGAACACCATTATGCTATAAAATAAAAACTCATCCTCCAACATATCCTATGCTTGATCTCTTTTCTTTAGCGTGCTCATAAACCAGACTGCAGTGGCCGAGTGCTTAATGTCATGTGTGATAACTTGAATTTAATGCAGGGTCCTTCCCATGCCATTTCAAGCTTCATTTAAAAGTTGAGGAGAAATGAGAATCTCAGTTTATGGGCTTAACTTACTTCAATTCATCTTGGAGGGAGCTAGTGACGATTTGGAAGAAATACAAGTCATAAAAACAGCTTTGTCCTTCCTGTTTAAGATTAAACTGTTTCAGCTTTTGTTTTGGCTGGACTTTGAGCCAGTGAATGAAAAAAACAGAAGAGGAAGTACAGAAAAAGGGAGCTAGGGAAGAAGTGAGGGTGCTTAGTAACTTGAGCCTGCAGAATACAGGAAGCACATGTATGTCAAGAGAACAACTTTGAAAGGAACCAGTGGTGAGTCAGGAAGCAGTCACTCCAGTCTGTCTCTTCCCCATGTTGCAAGAGTGGTAGCTGTAAGCTTGTGCGTTTTCCAGTTAAACTTAAAAGTGGTCTGTGATAGTCACGTTGCATTGCTACAACTGCACATTTGTTCCATTTGTTAAGTCCTAGAATACTTAAGTTGTGCCTTACTGAGTATCTTCAGCTGAGATCTACCTTGTCTCTCTGCAATACTAGCTGGGTACATGCAGCTATAATGCATGATATTATACCTTGAGATGCCTCTTTCTAATGTGTTATTGTGAAATACTGAAGACTGCTTTTCTCCCCCTCACCTTCCTCTTCCGTCCACTAGATTAAGCAACAATGGCATTTGTGAAGAGCGGATGGCTGCTCCGGCAAAGTAAGTCATGGGCCTTTTACCTCCTTTTCTCCTCACTGTGTCTAACTCTTCAAAAAACATCAGAGCAACTTAGTAATTCCCAGGTCTTTCTTCAAACAAGTCTCTAGCTCTGTGGGTTGTTTTGTGTTGGTTTTTTTTTTTTACCTTTAGGACACTTCACAAAATGACCTGTCATGACAGCATTTCCATGTGACCTTTTGGGTATACCAGTGAGAAACAGGATATACCATATCTGAGGTGTCTGACTGGCATTCAGCTTCAGATGCTGCTCTGTAATTAGTGCTGTATAAGTGGAGACTTGGAAACTTTACCTGACACCTTAACTTAATGTCTTCAATTAGTCATGCCCTCTGCTTGTTCTTGCAGCAAGTTAGAACTAAAGTGACGGGTTATGCACTTAAAATAAACTCAGTTTGACTTTGAATACTAGATAAAATATGGAACCCAATTCTGTAATGTTCTGAAGTGGGGATGTTGTAGTACAGGATTTTGCTTGGCACCTCAGAATGTCTGGAGCAACTGTGAAGGATTTCTGTGTTCATTTTTTATTAACTTTATGATGCAAATACTTCCGAATATGTGCCCTCAAAAGTGACTGTCTGATTTTAAGGTACTATTTTACGGCGTTGGAAGAAGAACTGGTTTGACCTGTGGTCTGATGGCCGCTTAATATTCTATGATGATCAAAATCGCCATGATATAGAAGATAAAATCCACATGCGAATCCATTGCATCAACCTCAGAGTGGGGAATGAATGTCGAGGTAATAATGAAACTTTCAGGATTTGTGTATTCAGAGATTCTTTAAAACTTCAGTGCCTGCCCAGCATACCGTTTACAACACTACTGCAGAAGTAAACATGTCCAAGAAGTGTGCAACTTCATTGTTGTTAAAAAAAAACCCACCCCCCCATCCCCCTCCCCCAGAAAAACAACCCCAACCCAACCAACTACTAAATTCCCTTATAGATACCCAGGGCATGGTATCACCATGTGATAGATTAGGTTAGGGTTTGATACTTCCTTTTAAAACTCAGTGAGGACAGTGTACCATTTATGCAGGTGGCAGGCATGCACATGAGAATGGGATGTTCACAGTAGACTTGTGTGTCTGATTATAGAGTGTTACTGGTGTAATTATAGTGCTGGCTGGAGTGAGAGGCAGGACTAGAAATGAGAAACCTCAGCAGATTTTTTTCAAGTATTACTAAGTTCAATTCTAGCATTTGTTAGTACTCCACTTGATGCTGACACAAGTGAAGGACACAAGTGTTGGAGAGTACTTATTGCTACGTATGGATTGGTTCTGCTGTAAGACACTTGCATTTCTTAGGAATGATGTTCAGAGCTACTTACTTTCAGGACACTAAAGAGCGAGAACAGGCTGGCTATTTCCTTCTGTAATTTGTTCTGATGCCATGGAAAGCAGCTACAACTGGCCCTAGTTTGTTTTGTCCAGACTTTTGCATAAACTGTCTCCCTTCTTGTAAATGCGATCATGAAATTGTGGTTATAGATATTTCATAACTTGTCTCTTTTTTTCTGACTCAGATTTCCAGCCTCCAGAGGGGAAGCAAAGAGACTGTTTACTGCAGATTGTTTGCCGTGATGGGAAGACAGTCAACCTCTGTGCAGAGAGTGCAGATGACTGTCTGTAAGTCTGCCAGAGAATATTGGTTTTGCTGCCTCTTCCTCTTCTATCTTTCTTTTTCTCTCTCTCCCTAATTATTTTCCTTCCTTCAGACTTTCAGAGACACATTTTGAGAAAGTTCTGAAGCAAGTAAAAGCCAGCTTTCAGTGACAAAAAATATAGTTCTCCTATAAGAAGTTGTCTAGCTCATGCAAACTAACTGCAAGTTAAGTCACTGAAAACACCGAAGGGTGAGGAGGAGTAAAAGAGTCTTATTAATATGGTTAATGCAAGACTGGATAGCCCAAGGACATCCCAATCAGTAGTGAAAGGAGTAATACTCCATTGTTGTGAACTCTCAACTGAGCTTGGCTAGTTAGATAACTTCTGTCATCGGTGTTTGCCAAGTATGCGTGGTGCGTCAAGCATGCTCCCAGCCATATCGCATGGGAGTATCTGTGTGAAGTATACGTACCTTCTGTTCAAACTGTAATAGCGTCAAGACCCGCACTCTCTAGTCAGCACAGATGCAACTGTTCGGGCAGGAGATACAACTTCCCTGGTGTATCTCTTCCTATTTCCTTATCCTGAGCATAGCTGCAGATTACCTGGCTGTTGTGCTTGCAGCGAGGACCTTCAACCGCATCTGTTCCTTCTGATGTTCCTCCTCATTCCTTCTCAGCTCTGCAAAGAAAGTAATTATTTCTCAATCTTGGTGTAACACCTTTGTGCATTCATCTTAGTTTATCATTAGGCTTTGACATATGCAGTATCTTAAACTCTGCTCCTGCAGTACCTCTAGTTGCTAACCTTGGTTTTTTCATAGTCCTAAAAAGAAAAAGTGGTGTTAATTTTTATCAGTGTTCCACTAAACAATGGGTGGTTTTTTTGCAGGGCATGGAAAATTGCTCTCCAGGACGCCAGAACAAACACAGTGAGTGTACTACCTAGACTTTATACTGATAGAGAAGCAGCACATCAGTGTTATGTGTGGTCCAGCAGTTTACTTCTGAAATCATGTTCCATCCTTCTCTGATAGAGAAAAACAGGGTCATGAGCATGATGGTAAGGCTTGTGGGTGGGGAGAAGAATGATCCACTGGATCACAAGCACATGTCATCCTTGCAGCCAAGTCCAGGCAAGTACATGCTGGGTGGAAGCAAATGATTTCAGGGAATGATTTCTGTGGGTGGAAGTGAATGTTTGGGAAGCTGGTCTGTAAGGGAAGTGGGCACTGAGACTGTGGACAAAAAGTAAATCTTCTGCAACCAGTAAAAATGCATTTTGCACTCCTAGTGTTTGTTGCCTACCAGGTGCAGTGCTAAAGGAAGCTTACTGCAAAGAACATGTTTGTTAATGTAGATCCATTACATTGTGGGATGCTTCTTGGCGGAGACTAGGGGAGGAGCAAGAGGTGCTTGGAGGGGAGTGCAGGCATGCCAAGAAGGAGTATATTACCTCTACATTGGCATGCTAGCTGTGGAGAGTGAAGAGGAATCACAAAAGTCTCTCTGAGAGTCTTGGAGTTCTCTAGAGAACCGTATCTCTGGGGAACCACATCCATCCACTTGTGGGTATTGTTAATTTGTTTTTCCTCCAGACTGCCTTCCAGAGTACTCTTCAGCACTAGCTCTCCTTAGATGGCTAGACTGAACCAACCTGAAATGTTTCCCTTTCATGGGGAAATGCTGCGTTTTGTAGAAGCTTATCTCAGTTTTTGATGGGTCACATTAACATTGCCACTGTACTGAGGCATCTGTCATATGATATAACTTAGATCTGTAGATACCCAAAGCAAACACTTGTCATAGCAAAACTGCCCTGGACACGATTGCCTCTGACTGCAGCTATGCTATGCTGCTTCATGGTGTTAAATGAGAAGTGAAGGAATTGTCCTTACACAGAGGACATAACGCTCATGGTCTGTCTGCTCTAGTTTTAGGGGCTTTATCTTGCTTATGTGTGAGATGGTGGCTCCTGGTTTCAGGAGTTAGGAGCTGCTGCTTTTCATGTCTCTCACACTCAGCTGCCAGCCCTGCTAGATGGCATTCAGAACTTGCCAGTGCATCACCTTTGTCAGCCAAGGCAGACCCCTGCTACTGAATGTAGGGCTGGTAGCTCTCTGCACAAGTAGTATCATAAATTAGCACTTTCCAAAGCTATTAAAGGTCTCCAACAAGGACTTGAGCTAACCAGGTAACTGGGCTTGAGTCCATCTGTAGGTGTCTGACACAGCTTTCAAAAATACTGAGCATCCAGCAGTGCCTCATAACTTTACTGGAATAGCAGGGTGATCACGCTAGCTTTGAGAACTGTCATTTACAGATGTTTGCAGGCTTGTGTCATATGCCTGTACAGAGTTCCCTGTAGCAGGACAGAATACATTTATTGCTAAGATGTGAGCATTTGCTGGACTTTTTCTCAGGTGGTGGAAATACTTGCCTCTTCATACAGTGCTTTCAACAGTGTGTTTCAAGCAATCCTTAGAATCTCCGCCACAAATTTGACCTGGGATCCGGCCACAGCATGCCCTCAAAAGTCTTTCTGCAGTCCAGGTACAAGAGACAATAGGAGCATTCTCTATTGAGCTATTAAAGTGTTTACTTGTAAATTAAAAAAAGGGAGCTGTTTTTTTTCTTGGGATAGGGCACTGACTAAGAACATCACTGCAGATTTCTGATATTAGGGGCAAGACTACAAGGCTACTGTAACAAATCTTAATTATCTTTGAGAGCTCCTTGTAGGTGGATTCAAGTAAGATAACTTTATCACCTTTGCCTCATGGCTGCCTTCAAAAAGGACCAGAATTACAGGTGGCATTTGCAAAGCAATTCCCTAAAAACAACCAAGCCCCTCAAATCCCTACACATTTAAACCTTTCTTACTGCATTTTTTTTAAGTCTCCTCACAGCCAGAAAGTGAGGTGGCGAAGAACTGTGACAGTGTTCTGCTAAAATGTTCAGGTGCCACTTTTGGCTACTGCATTTGTTTCCTTTATCTGCTCATGCAGAACTTGGTGATACCACTCTAGGGTGCCAGGAAGCAGCTAGCTTAGTTGTGAAGACTTTTTTATCTGAAAACAGAGGACGAACAAGAGGGTAATTTCTAAAACTGAGGCTATGAAATGAGGGAAGGAGTCAGTGTGCTTGCATGCACACATATGCACGTGTGTGTGTACACACACAGAGGTAAGAAATTTTATGGCTCCTTCCTGTGGTTGATCAGGCATTTGTGTTCTCCCAGGTCTGCTCTCCAAATAGTTTCTTTTTGCAGTGCTTTATAAGGTATTCACTGCTTTCTTAATATGCAGCACATCTAAAGGTTACTCTTTCTTTGGGGTCATTAAGTTTTAATCCTTGCGCTACTCAAACTGGCTATCTGTAGGAAAAGGTGATAACTGCTACCTTTCCATGGTGTTTAGGGCTACATGGGATCTGACGTGATGCATGACGAGACAGCCATTTCCTCAGCCCCTCCTCCCTACACAGCTTATGCCACACCATCACCTGAGGTAAGAGTTGCAGTCAGGAAGCATTAAAATAAGTGAGGTAGCAGAAGCGGCCATCCTTCAAGCACCCAAACTGTTCTCCCAAAGCGCTGCGTTTCACAGTCAGATCCAGCTTTAGGGTTTGCACAGAATGAGCGTGAGAGTAAGGCACTAACAATCTACTGTCACTCCTATTTGAGATGGATTTCCTTTGAAAGGGATGAGGCAGATTTGGTTGGGAGGTATATAAAGGGATGGCTGCTCAGTGAACTTTAAAGACAGGGCAGAAGTTACTTGGCTAATCTTGAAAAATTTTGGCCATGCAGCTTTTAACATAAGGAGGTGTGACTACACTTTCACATTGTGTAAGCACTGGAAGGGTATAAAATCAGGAGTTTTAAAAATAGGATTTAATGACTGGAGCTGTCACTTTTAACACATAAGGATTTTGTTGTATCCAGGATGTCATAGCAACACAATAACTCTAGCTTCTGGATGCACAGTTCTTCTGCAGTGGAGGAGGAGCAGCACTGGGGCCGAACAAGTATACATTGGGGATTTCTGGATGTTGTGACTCACGTGCAGTGACACACAAAAGGGATAGTTTGGGGTAGTATTACTTGTTGCACTATAGGCACTCTGCTCCAGCCCCTTGCTGTTAGAAATAGTTGTCAAGAACTAAATGTGGTACTGGGAGCTATATCAGGGCTAGCAGCGGGCCTCCTCTTTTGGAGAGCAAAATTGCTTCCAAAACATATGGCTACAGGGTATTTGTCCTGAATCTGACATTTACTTGTGGTGTGCTAGAGGAAAGTTGGTTGGAGTTTCTTGGGATCAGCTGCTGCCTACCTGGCACTTCTGAGCTCTCCAGAGAGCTGCTGTTGTCATGAGGGCAGAGAGAAGCAGCTGGTAAGGCTGCTGTGGCTCTGCCTGATGATCCAGGCCCTGCCTCTGTCACTCACCATCCAGGAAGGGTGGACAGTGAACGCTGCTTAGGAACACTTATTCAAGCAGCTGTTCTAAATGCTTTCTAGGAGACTGTATCAGTACAGACTGCATATTTTACTGAAATTTTAACTGCATTAGAAATGAGGGACAATTGAACAAAGTGCATAATTGGATACATAGCAAAGAATGCTTTTGTAATGGACATTTTTAATTTCACCAGGTTTATAGCTATGGCTATGATCAGTACCATGGTGCATATCCCCCTACTGGTCCTCAGGTCTTCTATGCCTCCAGCGGACAAGCTTATGCTGTTCCCTCTCAGTATGCATACCAAGGTAATCAGTATCAACCATATCCTTCACCTTCCTGTAGAAGCTATTTGAGTCAGTCTTTCTGGCTTTAATTCTATTAATCACCATCCTTTACCACCCACCACTCCTGCACAACAGAGTGATAGAAAGAAACCTGACTTTTGTAACTGGAACCAAGTCCCCTTACCCTTTCACAACAAAGCGCGTGCAGTGAAATTTGTATTAAGTGATTTAACCTTCCCAATGTGATCCCAACATATTTAAATTACTTTATAAACTCTTGTTGAAGCACACAAAACTCTCTTAACTACAGTAGGCAGCATGTTTTCTAAGGAAAGATAGAAGAGCCAGAACAAGATTGATTCAGTGCTCCGTATTGGGCATTGATAGAGCTTTTGACTCATCTGTTGCTCTTACACCTAGCTTAATTATTTCAACACTGATGTTCAGCTATGACCTCAGAATTAAATGCAAGTTTCAAAGGTAAATCCACTCCCAAAGCATGGTGGTAACTGGTTCCTTCCCTGCATGCTGGAATTGCTGTAAGGCAGTACATTCAGCCTTGTGAAGTCTTCTATTGCTCTGTTCAGGTTTGTATAGCTTTCAGTCCTAATAAAAGAGGAAAGAGACTAACATTTTTGGGTGTGCTTTTAAGCTTAGTCACCTTAATTTAGGATTAGTTTTGCACAGAGAGCCCCGGTCCTACAGAATTGGGGCTTTAAAGTAGTATGGGTAATACAAATCAGAAGATTTAACTTAGTAATTGTTTATGATCTGGCTCTGCAAACAAGAATATTCAGAATTTTTTTCAGTTTTGAGGGAATTTTTTTTTTTCCATTTGACATTTGTCAGGATATTTCATTTGCCTTTTCCATTTTTTGTTACAAGGGAGGTGCATCAGCATAAAGCTTTTAAAGCTTTCCTCATCTAAGTTAGTGAAGTCCTAAGATACAGATCATATATATACAAACACAGAGGAAGATGGGTTTTGTTGGTTCTCAGCAGCTGAAAAGCAGCAGCTTGTTGAAAGTCCCAAGAACCTTTTCTAAAAACTACCAGCAGGCCTTGGCAATCAAGCCTCAGAAACCTGTATGATAATGCAGCATTAAACAGTAACTCTCCTAAACAGTTTGCAAGTCCAGTGTGTTAAGATACTAGTTACAGGTTGGGCATAGTAACCAAGCCTCGATGTTTTCCTTCACTAGGGTTACTGCAACTAAATCTTAGGGGTCAAGTTCACCGCTAGCAACTAACTTAACTCCTGTACGTTCAGCTTCATTACTCATGCTTTGAATTGACAGAGTCCTTCTCATAAGGTTCCCAGTCATGCATCACTGAGAGTCAGTGAGAGCCTTTTCCAGTTGTATTAGTTGGATTACTTCAGTATCTGTTACAAAAAACATTGCAATATCTTCAAGAATACTTAATCTTCCTGAAATGTCTGGAAGGGAAAGCAACATCATAATGTTTGCTTTGCAGGTAGGAGCTAAGTCACAAAACATGACAGGTGGAGCTTGAGTGGTTTCTTGAGTCTTAGGTTAATTCCTTACTACTGGGCCAATCTTCACCTGAAAAGAAACATAGCAGCTGTCACCACACAACAGATCAGCCCACACTGTGAAGGCTGAATTGAAATAGTAGGCAGTAATTGTAGAGTAAATAACTGATACACAGTTTCTAACAAACCACTGGCTTAAGAGCTGCCAAAGATTTTGGGGGGGGGGAACTATTTGCCTTAACTTCAAGGTTGAATCAATTTTTAGACCCATTTCTTGCATTAAATCCACTGTTTGATAGAATGATACAAATAATTCATAGATTCTTTGCTAATATAAATGCAGAACAATGTTCAGTTTTACATTTGTGATGAGCTTTTATCCCAGATATTAAACTCTTATGAGGCTAGAAGTGTTGCTAGGCCTCTGGATTTATTTAATCAATGTGGAGGCTGAATCCAAAGCAGAGGTGTATTCTACCTTTGTAGCTGACATCATCTTAGCATTCAGTGGAAGGAAGAGGGTGAAAGAATGGGCATGTTTTGAAATCTCAATGCATGGTATTAAGATATAAATTTCTTTTGCCCTCCTCCTAACAATTTCTTAATACCTAGGACCTTATGGCCAACCCCCTGCAAACCATGTCATCATTCGAGAGCGTTACCGTGACAGCGATGGAGACCTTGCACTGGGCATGCTTGCTGGAGCAGCGACTGGAATGGCTTTGGGATCATTATTCTGGGTCTTCTAGATTACCCGCTCCTTATCTTTGTAGTTCCAAAAACCTTTATTGTGTGCAATAATATATTGGCAATGTTGTTTACTGTTAAACTTTAAGAAATGCAATAGTTATTTCTCAGTAGTGACATCTTAATAACTGATTCTTAACTGTCCTAAGGAGAGTTTAAAGGCACCGTTTAGTTAAGTGGTTGGAGACAGCATGTGCTGCTTTTGAATTCTGTTCTCATGTTTGGAGTTACAAAGATTTGTACTGATAAGGATCAACATGAGCACCAATGTAACATGGTAGCAGTCACTAGCTTTATGAACAGGCTGTTATTGTAAACACCGTAGAAAAAGTGGATTTTGGGGGGGGTCTAAAATCTGGTCCAAATAGGAGGTTTACAGGAGCCCTGCATTAGTATATATGTACTACTGGCTTCTGAACATTCCCTGGACAAACACACAGCTCAGCAGAAACTCCTTGGCATTAGGTACTCTGCCATGCTTGAGGATTTTTTTGTTTTCAAACTTGCCTGCAGATGATAGTGTATTTTCTTAGATGGAGTCCTATACCTGCCTCTCACACCATCCAGGTGACGTTGTGTTTGAGAACGTATAAGCAAACCGCTAAGAAGCGGCAGCACTCCTCAGTTCTTTTATTCTCCCAGAAATGTGAATGACCAGTGGCAAGGAAGACCAATGTTTGTTGTTCCACCTCCCTCTTTATCCTGAATCTCTCTTCTCTGGTCAGATGGAAGTAATGGATCTTTAGCTTTGCACGTGGTCTTCCTTGTCTGTAGAACAGTCACCTCAGACACTGTACCAACTGCATTGCTGACAAAAAGGCCATTGTCTAGTGTCTCTGCTCATTACTGCTATCGCTCTGCGGAGTCTGCAGGAGGAAAACTAGCTTGAACAACCCTTGCCCTGTTGGGCCTACCAGAACCCCTCTGCAGGCAGTAATAGTCAGGAGTGGAGAGACAAACAGCACAAGTAGACCTTGCACACAGGCACTTTAATATCAGCTGCCTTGCCATGGCTAGGGTAGAATGTCTGTCTCATAGCCTCCAAGGTTTCCTGAACCAGGTTCATTATTTGCAACTAGTTTTGAGCACAGCCGAGCCTGGGTTTGTTCTATGCACGCTTCCCTCTCACATTCATCAGGTCTCTTCTTCCCTCCATGATTTGTTAAGGAAAACACTCCAAGGAACCTGGTTGGCTTTGCTTGTACGTCTGGTTCCTTATACAATGTGCTCCTGCAGGCTGCTGTGCTATGGACTGTAACCTGGAGTGCAACTGTTATGTGGCCTATTACCTTACCCTGTTATAATCCATGCTGAGCTGTGCTTGGCAGGGGAAACTCTGAAGAAATGCACATGCTTTGTTATTCAGGTAAAAGAGGCAGGGTGCCTAAGTTGAGTTCTTTATAGTAAGAGGACTTATTTTTATACTTCCACTTTCAGCTTCCTGTATTCATACTGTTTTAATATGTTAAGTTTTTCTTATGCTTTCATTCAGAAGTAGGTTAATTTCCTTAAGGTTCACGGGGTTTCAGGTATGTCAGGAAAGATGAAAATAGATGAGAACTTGCACCCACATAAATTTAGATCAAGCCCCAAACTTTTTCATTTAATCGTAAAGCTGTCTTAGCTATATCCTACATATTTAAGCAATAGAGGTCTTGGACAAGAGTTTGGGTAGCAGCCAGGGGAAGCACTAAGCTTTCATGACTCTTAGGACCAACTCAACAAACTGAAATCATCGGAAGGAAACAGACCGATGTAATTTTGGATGCATTACTAAGAGCGGGCCTAATCCAGGGAACGTAAACTTCTTTCAAGAAACTTTGGCTTGGAGCTGTACACCAATGTGCATGTGTGTCCTTTCACAGGTTAATACAAGCTGCATATGTTCTGCCAGTGGTATGTACTGAAAGGACTTGCTGGAGGTTCAAAAGAGGACTGAAGCGAAAGTTTCCTATTGCTAGTCCAAACCAAAAGAAATTGGAGTACACTACTGAAGTTCTCTTAGAGGCCTGGTACTCCTGAGGTCAGAAAGAGATGGTGACTGTCTAGAACTTAAGTGAACAAACATTTGTACCCTTTTTAAGCCTTGAGATAACCTTGAAGCTTATTACAGGTCTACACACTGCTGTTTAGTTTGTGCTTTGCAATGTAACTAGTTCTGCAGAACGCCTCCATCTCCTCTTCTCCCTGTGTGATATTTAGCTTGTAAGGGGTGGGGGAGAATAAAACAATTGAACATCATTGTGATTTCTTTTGAATTTCATAACGATTGTGAAAGAATAGCACAAAGTGAATCAGCTAGTAATTTATTCTAAGTTCAGAGTTTTATTGTGTGGGTTTTTTTTTTTAAGAGCTGTTGATCACAGCAGGGGAACGTGTCTCTTGCTCTCAGGAGGTAACTGTATCTAGGTCCCCAGTTTCTTCAAGTGAAGTATATAAGGTGAAGACTGTTGATTGCAAAACATTCCTGGGTTGAATTCAAAGCAAGAAATGATCTTTTTAAAAGTTCAAATTGAAGTAAGTGACCATTAAAAAAATAACCTTACCCCTTCTCAAGGGAAAAAAAATTTACAAATTGAAGCTGAAAATTCTAGTTCCATCTTGGTAACAATAGGCTGCGTTTATACAAAAATCATGAGCTACTTTTCTATCCTGGTAGCATAGGCATTTAGAAGCTAGAAAGCAAATGTATAAAACTGTGCTAGAACATAAAATTGAGACTAGTTATCTTATTGCAGGTGCTTGTAGCCTTTCTGATCTCATTGCAGAAACAGAAGTGGAAGTGTCTTGGTGCACAAAGCAGCAGCGTGGGGATAGCCACTTGAATTCACTGGTTGTTAAAGCTCATAGACTTGCTTCCTGAAGACATGGCCGTACCTCCTGTTGCTCAGAAACAGAGTGGAGGTTTGGTTGTATCGATGATAATGTCCAGCTGGACACTGAGTCAGGACTCAATAGCCTTTTTCTGCCCAGTCCAGTACTTCATGTGTCTGCAGTTTGTGTAGATGCTGGTGTGAGCTGAAGGAGCAGGGCCAGAGTGGATTTCGGGGCTTGGAGGGACTGCCATGCCAGCTTCTGCAGATGGGTGATACCACAGTGATGGGAAGAGGCAGTGGATGCGGCAAGATCATTTTCAAAACAGATTGAAATGATAGTCCTAAACAGGAGTTCGTTTCTGAATGGTGCTATTCGTGATGCTGTGATTCCAGTTATACCTGCATAGCACCCACGCACATGCTTTCCTACATGGGGCCCAATACTTGACCTCCCTAAAGCTATGGGAGGTCCACAGCCACTACAGTGCCACTGCTTTTTGCAGCGTACACTATCAGTTAAGGATAACTAAATCTGTTGTATAGCAGTTACAGTCCGTTCAGAATTAAATGGCAGTGCTTACAGAGGTCACGACTCTATATGTTCATCTCTGACTAGTTACTTCTGGATTCTCAGTTACAGACAGCTGGACAGAGCCAGGCTTCCAGAGGGTGGGGTGGAAATGGTCAGCCTTCTGGTAAGTCTGACCACATTAAAGAGGTGAACCAGGACCCTCTCCCAAATTTTTAGTTACATGTGAAAACATAGCTGTTCGCTTCTTGTGCTTATATATAGGGGGCTAGGGAGCCAGCCTCTTCTAGTGAGTGGGTAAAGGCTTATGAACTAGAGAGGAAGGGTTGGAAAGTGTTTATGTACAGAGCAAGTGCACTGGCTTTTGACAAAGACATCTTTTCTAGTGCTGAAGCACATTCTGAGCTGCGTCTAGATGGAGCTACCCTAAATGTCACACAACGCTGGCCTCATTTTGTTTGTTTTTCAGTGGAGAGTCAATAGGTGATGGAACCAGCTAAGCAAGCTGGGTAAAGGAGAAAATTCAAACCTGTGGCCCTCAAATGTGTTTGTGGCTTTTTCTCCTCATGATATGGCTAAGATAGATATGTGTAAGTCATGGAGGGTAGCATGCAGCAAATGTTTCCCCCCTAGATCCTTCATGTTCTTGTGCACTCTCTATCTTAATTGCTGTTTTACTGTATGTCCTCATTCTCATTATTAATTTATAGCAAAATACTCTTAGCAATAAAATTCATATATAACTGTAATTGTTTTGTCTTGACATGTTTACTAGCCTTTGTTCAACATTTCTCATTTAGTCTGTAGATGGGTATATGTTTTTCAAACATAGTCAGCTTACAGGAGGTTTCCTTTCCAAGGGGACAGCACCATGATGAATTCTGTGCACCTCCAGTCTTTCCTAAGCGATTACAAGGCTGACTTGACTTGGTAGAAAAATGAACTAAGGCAACTGTGGCTGTTAGAGTTCGAGCTCAGGCTGACATACCTCAGTCATCTCAGTTACCATTTAATAAAGATGATGTAACGTCTGTGAAATCAGCAAAGTAACTCTGCACTAACACCACTATACCAAGATTAGAATTTAGGCCTGTTTTTTTTTTAATGGAGTTGAAGGCTTTTACTCAGAAATGCTTAATCTTGGATATATACAATGCTGATCCAGATTTACCATTTGACATTGTGTCATCAAATCAACAGATTTGTACTGTTTAGTATTACAGTAAGCAGCTTGAAGCACAGATGTTGCTCTGGGCAAAATGCTACTGGTTGCTGTATTGGTATTTCCTGTTTATGAATTGCTTCAGTGAAGTTGGGTACAATCAATAAATTTGCTTAGACAAAGACACTAAATGACCACAACTAGCTCCACCACCTAAAGGCATACTATCTTGTACGTTTGCTGAGAATTAAACTATTTGTCAGAAGTACCACAGTACATTTTGTAAGCCATTATCCTTGCTTTATGCACAGTTTGTTTTTACTGTTGAGGGGTGGTTGTTTTTTTAGCCAATCTGGGGGAGGAATGAAAACAAAACTGCTATTTCAACCAATCAGTTAATGTAGAAGTACACGTCATTCTTCTCCCCAGCATGCTATGCTGGCTATGCTTATTTTATCAGTCATCAGTTCCATACGATGAATTTACTAGGCTAAGCAAATCGTTATGTACACTTAACTCTGCCCACCAGAGAGCCCACCCTTACCAAAATTTCTGCACCAGAACAAGTTAGGGAACTAAATTTGCTGTGCAAGGCTTAGCAGCTCCATACCTTCCTGAACTGCCATGCTCCTGAACTGGCAACAGCTTAGAGAATGGGCTTTGTCTCTATTACTGCTTCCCTTCTCCTACTGCATTCCCTGTCCTGTTTGTGGTCACTAAATGCAACCACAGTAATTAACTTGGGTTGTATTCCTAAAAGTACCTTTATTTGTCCCTCCCTCCTGTTGCAGTTCCACTACAATGCATTGAAGCGAGTGTGGAGCATTTGCTGTTCCCTCCATTTCAGTGGAACTGAAAGTTTCCCCCAGTATGTTGTGAGCACTTACTAACTACAAATAGGAGCTTGGAACAACGGACTGACATTAATGCACCGGTTTGGGAGTCTTCTGATTACCACAGGTTATCTCATTAGGCTTCAGAGTTTTTGAAGCATCTCTAAAAGGCTCCAAGACTCACAGGGCAAATAAAAACTCCAAATATATCTGCATTAATAATTTAAAGCTTAAGATCCATTTGATGACGATTTTTAAGGCGCAGGTTGTGAAAGTGTCAGACTGACAATACTGGGCTTAATCTGACCGAATATGGTGGATGCAATACTGATACCGCCTAATTCTCCAGGTACTTTAGGTACCAAAGTTAACTACGCATTTTGCAAAGTAGTAAGCCTTTAGGTATGACAGATAAAGTCGAGAAGAGAGTCACCCAAAGTGACAAGCACCCAAAGCTTTCAGCTGCCAGGTGCATGCGGGGGCTAAGATGAACTTAGCCTGCTCAGGGTGCTCCCTGAGCAGCGGGCCGCACAGCGCCCCAGCGCCCTGCCTCTTGCTGTAAATCGACCAGCACCTCCGGGCACTCCCGGCCGGGAAGGCGGAGGCCACCTCCAGGTTTTCGACGGACAGCGAGATTTTCTGTAACTAAACCGTCTGTCCAGCTGCTTCACACGGTCCCTCCCTGCCCGTGCCCGGTCACCGCCCGTGCTCCTGCCCGGCGGGCCCGGCTCTCGTCACGCCCTGCTTGGCCCCCAACTGCCCCGGCCCCGGCCGGGAACTCGCCGTTTGAAACCAACGGCTGCCCACGCGCCCAACAGTCGCCCTCGC